AAAGCGATGTGAGGGTTCATGTGAACCATGGCCAAAACGGTAAGCGTACGAGGATTGTCAGAATTCATCCGTTGTTGTCGTTGTCGTCGTTGCAGAACTCTTCCTCTTCGACAATTTCTCTCGATAATCCGAATGCATGAAGCTGAGGAATGACGTAATCGGTTTCGGTACCGTTGTCGATACAATCGAGCGGCCACGCGATATGCACCTTGGCATTCTCCCAAAACCAGTAGAATATCCACAACTTCATTTGCGGAATAAACCATGATACGCGAAATCACTCAAAAATATTCTGAACTCAATAATGACCCGATTCGTACTGACTAAGATACAATAAACACTAAGGTACACCAGATAGGTCTGGTATTTACACTTTGGTGTTTACTGGTTCTTATTTAAAGGCCACTTTCTGTTTATCGTGTCTGAATTTGGAATATCGTTAACAAGTTCAATTTTTAGTATTTTTGAGCTCCGAAAGCATAAAAAACACATGTGTGACATCATTAGATTCATCTCATCGAGTACAACAACTTTTGTTACAAGAAAATTTTTGATCCCATATGAAAAAAATGAACTTATGCTTGTAGCATAAAAACATGAAGACTTAAATGCTCAAAACATATCTCATTATTTTTCCCACTTGGAGCCCTACAACTTCTATTTGAAAGATTTTTCGATTACTACCCACATTCAATAGTTATTTCGGTGTACAATTTTCTCTCGGACACCCTGTATATGCTATGCTAATCTGAAAGCTTATTAAATATGATCTAAAATGACATTTGATTGGTCTAATTCTAATAATTCTTCATGGACTGATGACAGTTCTGATTCCTTTCGAAATCGCGTATGATAATTCTGAATCAATTGATTTTTCATTAACCCAAATTAAGTCATTGGTATCAGCTGAAAAAAAAATGCAAATTGTTCAAAATTAAATATTGATAATTTGTCTATCAATAATATAAGCGGAATAATTCTAATTATTTAAAATATGAAGAGAGTAAATTTGAAGAAAAAAACAAGATTGATCCAGAATATAGAATGAAAATAGAAAATATGGGAATTTTGAACTTGATATGTTCAATTTCATGCAACCGCGCCAGCGCCCGTTCCGTCTAATCCAAAGGAAAAAATCATAATAAAGTACTGGCAATTTGTGCGTCGAACGCTACATTAAAATAAATAATGTTTCTTTTCTAAATAATGAAGTAAATCTACGGTAAATGTATGGCTTAGGTCCACAAAAAAAAAATGATTGAAAAAAAAATCGTTTTTTCCAGTCACCCCCAGGATATTTTCTTTCTGGAAGTCATAGATCAGGCCATGGGTGAAAATTTTTTTTCACTGAATGCGCCAAAATTATTCGTCTGCTAAATTAACTTCCTTTCGATGCCTGATGCCGTTCTTACTGAAGTGGCGACGGGTGGGGCAAGTTGGACAGCTGAAGATTTTTTATTTAATTGCTGATTGGGTAACAGTTAACTTAAACTTCATTGTATGAAATTATCATGTATAAAACTAGCGTATATGGCGCGCTATGCGCGCCAAATCGTCCACGTATGGGGTGTTATCATTGGAATATATATATATTTATATATTTCCAATGTAATATATACATATATAGAATTTCAAAAAGAGGATAGAAAAAAGTCTAAAAATTTATATAAAAAAAATAGTTTAAAATTTAATAAATTATATTAAATTCATATATTATATTATTATATAAATAAAAATTAATATAATTTCTATATATATATTATTATATATAATATATACATATATAAATAATGAATATAATATATAATATATATATATATATCATATTATATAGATATATTTTGATATGCATAGCTCCAAAAAAAGCTGACAAAAAACGTTACATGCTTTTGTTTAAAAGGGATTATGGATGAAGTGGGCGATTTCTTAGTTATTAAAGAAGATATTGAGAAAACAAAAATAAAAAAAAACAATTATACCATACGGATGCGAACATGAGCATAGAAAACAGAAAATAACGTTACTTTCTTTTTTTTTGAAAACATTTTCGAAAAACGTTTGATTTTTTTCTATGAAATTTTGACATTTTTTTCATCATGGGAAGTCAATTCCTCCTCTATTTTATTCCAGTTTTACAATTCAATACGATTCCAATTGGAATTTAGTTGGGATTCAATACAATTCCAATTTACTTTCGCCAGGAAATTCACTTACCATAAGAGAATGTCTAGGAATACTTACATTGAAATACATGTGATATGTGATTTCCTTGCAGTTAGTAAATTTGGTAAATGTCTAGTTCAGGTCCACCAAACCATTCTAGATGTTTTTCATTTGGTTGGATGGGTTTCCGTCGCTTGATTAAGAATCTGGTCACCTTTTTATCCGGAAATAATTAGTCTGAGAGATATGACGTTTAATACACCGCTCTGTGCGTCATTCAGGGCCACGACAAGAACGCGGCGGTGTGGTCGGTCCAAAAGACAACACATGTTAGCACATTTAAGGACAATGGATACAGAAAAATGGATTTATCTAATAGTCCTGAACACTACACTGAAGCTCTGAATTCACCTCACCCGACCATCTACCATCGCTGAACGAATACCACGAGTGACTTATCCGCCGCTACCCTTCTGCAGCTATTCAAATATTGAATTAAATAGCACTCACTTGTCGCGTCAACAGCGACAACAGAGGGAAGGGGGTGTTTAAGGAATTTCAGTGACAACAGAGTTTATCTCAGGACTATTTATAGATGTATTTCCATTCTTGTTGTTTCTCCCTCTTCTTTGGTCATTGTTTTTGACGACTGAGAGGATAAGAATGATTTTCGTTCAAAGAAATTAATATTTCAATGATTTTTGTTTTTTGGTGCACCTAACCCATACATTTACCGAAAATTAATTTGCTTATGCCTATCGCTTTTCTGAAATCCACCATTCGGGAATCAAGTAACTTCTCCCTAAAGTTCCTACTTAATTCCCTGTGAAAACTAAAGTGGTATTTTCCTTTAAAAGTGTACGTGGACGTATCGGAGGGTTCAGTGACCCTGGATTTCATTCTTCCCAGTAGCCTGCAATCTCGAATGTGGGAAATGTCAATAGTTCAGTTGCCATTCGAGCAACGAGCACCAGCAGGTTGTCTCCAATACTTCAATACACCACGGGGTACTTTGAGGACCCTAAACTACTTACCAAACGGTAGATATCTGTCAAATCAGGATTATCTGCTGTGCATACGCCAGGAGCGTGAAATGTGCAGCATTGCTTACTCGCCGTGCAGCAGTGACTCATTCAGGATCGGCCCCAGCAGATTAAATGATGATCAGAATAACCAGATGAACCCTGCAGATGGCTCTGGGGCCGGTTCAAACGATCCAAATACTGTCAGACGCTGCGACGATCGTGTTCTCATCCCCTGCGACTTCGAGGAATTCATAACGGTATGTATACGGTCTATTCCTCGATATATTTAATACGCATGTATGCATCTATCTCGGCGCAATGTAAGCACCCTTCGAATCCCCACAGTCGACTTCCGTCCATCACTCCTCATGAATTATTCAATTAAATTGATTTTACGTGTCGCAATACACTACCCTTGCGCTTCAACGGTTTTAACCACACATTCTACCCCCTTGTCGTCCTTCGAGTGTTCAGGACTGGTCGTCTCAATTAGGAGCTTATCTGATGTTTTATGCAAAATTTTTGAAGGAACCGTGGATGAAGGATATTCCGGCTTTAAGAAAGACGAACAGGTGACATTTGCAAACTATCGATTAAAATAATATCGATATTATAAAAAAATTCAAGGAATTTTTAGATTTCTATCATGATTTTTATCATTATAGTAGGCCGTAAGGCACATTCGTTCTCGCCCTACTCTAAAAAGAACAGACACATCTAACTCGCAAGCAATTGATATATCGCAAGTCGATCATGTTATTATTGTGGAAGAAAAAGGCTATCGATTCAATTCGAAAAAGCACCACGATAGAACGAACTCGCAAGCTATCGATATGTCGAAATTCTGTCACGCTTATTGCTCATTGGAACACAATCATCTCAAGCTGCTAATTTAAATGCATAACTAATCAATTTTTTGGTTTAACATAATGATTTTTATCATTAGCGCACTGCAGCGCCCGTTCGTCTCGACTTATCAGTTGTTTGCAGTTTGTAACAGTACAGTAGGACAACAGAATCTGAAGTCATAGGGGGCAAAAAAATATAAAAAAACAACACAGAAGGGAAATGAAATGGTAAATTTCGATAAAATCGGTAAGGGTCACTGTGTTTTATAATTGCTCAAGTACCTTGAAAATTTATTTTTTTTTCCATCTTCTTTTTTTTCTGTCCTAGAAGGGACTGACAGGTCAAACTTGCAAAATATCGATGTGTCGCGAACATATTGCACACCTATTCCCCATTGATTGAAATGAACTATATTGTGTCAATAGACCAGGTGTCAGAGAAAAAATGGCTAATAAGCCATTTTTTTACTGTTGTTTGAGATGTAGATAATAAGTGTACAAAAAATAATCTTCCAAATCGATCCGGAACAACTGTTCAAATAATTGAACAATCCAATTTTTGCCGTTTTCTGCATTTATCTCCGGAAATACGACTCTCATTGTCAAATGGGTCGAGAACAACTTTATTCATTGTAAAATTTTCGAACAAAGAGGACAGTTTGAGCTGAACTACGAATGAAGGGCGGTCGGGCGTCGGGAAATAATACTTTTGGTGTGGGTGAAATTAGCAAAGAATGAGTCCGAGAATTGAACCACAAGGCAAACCGTTTCATTGAACAAGAGTACAACGTCCAATGCTATACAGGGTGTGACATAATGAGTGTAATACCTCCCGACCACGAGTTCAGGGAGCCCTCCTGAACACTAGAAAAATGGGAAAAAAAAATTGACTGGACCAATTTTAAATAATTGTAAATTAAGGAAGGCCAGTGAGAGGGCTGAGTTATGGCGCGTAAGTGGGAGTGGTAGAAGTCGACTGAGATATGACAACAGCGCGTGAGAGGCGTCGGGAAGTGTGAGAGGTAGTTGAGTTCCACTGCTCTGTCGTGAATTTCGGGCCGACACGCATGTTGCATAGAGCAACAACATGCATGGATCTTCCGAACTGTCAAATCCAACCATAAAAATAATGTTTCTTTCGATAGTTACCGGTTATGTTTCTTTCAGAGGGATTCCTTAGGCATTTCAGAATAATTCTTTCGGAATTCCAGAGGGATTCCTTAGTAATTTGAGAATGATTCCTTAGGAATTCCGGATGGATTGCTTAGGAATTTCGTAGGGATTTCTCATAAATTCAAAATGAATTTCTTAGGATTTCTAAATTAACTCATCAGCAATTCACAGATAAATTCCTTAAGAATTTGCAGATGAGTTCGTTAGGAAATTATGAGTAATCCTCCCCAAATCCCGAGGAATCCCTCTGAAAATCCTAAGGAATTCCTAAGGAATCGCCCTTAAAAAACTAAAAAATTCCTCTGGAATTCTTAAAAGGAATACATAGAGGATTTTGAACAAGACCCATGCATTTTGTCCCGAAATTCACGACAGAGCAGTGGAACTCAATTACCTCTCACACTTCCCGACGCCTCTCACGCGCTGTTGTCATATCTCAGTCGACTTCTACCACTCCCACTTACGCGCCATAACTCAGCCCTCTCACTGGCCCTCCTTAATTTACAATTATTTAAAATTGGTCCAGTCAATTTTTTTTTCCCATTTTTCTAGTGTTCAGGAGGGCTCCCTGAACTTGTGGTCGGGAGGTATTACACTTATTAAGTTACACCCGGTATTCACTTTATACAGGGTTTTGTTGCCAATAAATAAATTGTCATGTTACGGGTTTGAACGCATTGAACAATAAAGAAATATTGCTGAATCAATCAATTAATAAAGCAAGTAGTTGAATATACAAAAGTACGGTTTGTGTCGCGCTGGCATACAAAATGGCGTCAATTTATGGTCTTAACTCTCGAGTTCCGTTGAATGAAATAAAGCTGCTTAGAATCGCTAACTGACGCGGCGTTACCTTAGCAAAACCAATAATTATCGAAATTGATGGATATTAGTTCGTTGAGTCAAACGCGTTGATTTTCGTTTGTTGAGTTACGATTATATGGACAGTGAAAAACGAACCGATTGAGATGATAGTCGGACTGTAACTAACGTGAGATGGAGATCACCAAGACCGTCGTCTTAGCCGTTTCCCCCTAACTCGAAAACTCGGAAATGTCTGAAAATTGTCGAGGAAAATTCCTTGATATTTTTCTAATTGTTGAGCCTCTACTTCAAACATTCCGGCCGGATTCATCAGGCTTAATGAATCCGCGTTGATTACTCAGTCTGGTTTTCATCTGCGTTGGTGTCTTCTGGTTGATCGGCTAGTGGTGAATCCGTTGGTAACAGATGTGTTAATTGCGCATTTTGTTGAATTCGTTGGCTGCTCCCACCAACGCTTGTACGTTGTCGCTATACGTTGCCTGTCTACTAACTACTGCCATGTGCACCGCCGATGTGCTAAAACGAACAAAAACAGCGATGTGGACTGGTGAGGGTTACGTTCGTTGGTCCCAACTAGAGGATTGGAAATAAGTTTGTATTGGGCCATTCCAGTATGCAGAAAAGGTGTTGATGAAGTTGCTCGCGGTGTTGGCAGCTAACCAATCAGCTGTTGAGCTTTTCGACCTCTGAATCTGACGCAGATAGTACGATGTAATATGAATGCTTGTACTGACCTTCTGCCATCGATAATCCAGTATTGTTGACTGCCGAGGTAAGATGATCGGTTGCATTTCGTTGCTGTCTAGAAATGAGTTGTTCAGGCGCTGACCAAGCCTAAGACTTCTTTCGTTGACCAATGTTGGAGTCAGCTCGGTTAATGGATGATTTTGAGGTAGTTGAACATCTCTGATGAGGTTTCGGAAAACAGAGTGAAAATATTGAAGCTGTGTTACGTCGACTGAGAGGGGCCTCGGTTCGTTGAGCTCTTCCATTAATAGAACTGTTGGATTAGGTCGAGGTTATCGTCTGAATCGATTTATTGCTCGACTCAACGTTGCTGTCACTTAGGTACTTCGGTACTTAAGTAGAAGTTCCTTGGATAGTGTTGAATATCTGTTGAGCGGCTCAGTCATTACATGAACTCTAACAGTAACCTGGTGAGCTGACGAAGGTCTTTCTTCGAGTGATCCTTCCGTTGGAGAACTCGTTGGTATACTGCTAGGATGATGATGTGCTGGTTATTGGGCCAGGCGCGAGCCACGAAAGATGATGCTCGTTGGGTTCACTCAGTGAGATGGTACGTGAAGCACAGTCAGCAGATTTGTAAATCCCATTAACATGTCTCCATATAGCGGTTTGTAACCTTTCTTGAATTTTCGTTACTATGTTGTAAACGAATTACTTCCATCTTGGATTGAAAAATCGATTACGTTAAGTGAGTTCTTCCGTGAAGTTTCAGTTGGGTTGATTATCCCAAATTTCATTTAAGAAGCGAGAATTCTTCGATTAAAATTTTTTCTCGAACGATTACTGGTGTGATGAATGCAAGAGGGTCGAAAGTTGACGGTCGAGTTCTTTCCGACAGCAGTACTCTCTTGGTGAAACTCGTTGAATTGAAGATCTTTGATTTGTACTGAAAGGTGTCTGTTGATGGGTGCCAGAACAATGAGAATCCTAATGATTGCTTACTCAAATTGCACGTTCCCTTGGTGCTGCTGACAAGTTGAGTTACTGAATTAATTCAACACGGTTACTGGCCTACCTCTGAAGTGGAAGTTCACCCGCTTCCCCAGCCAAGTGAGGACATCCATTACATCCACTTGGAGGTTTCAGCCCGCATAAAGGATGTCGTTGAGGGAGATGCCTGTTGATATCTGGATGTCACTCGACGTTTGATTATAATTTTGTCTTTTCGCAGTACCTTATGGTATATCAGGTAATTTTCATCGTAGATTCGAATAATGAAAGTATTGGCACAGAGTGAGTGAATAAATCATGGCTTATTAATAATCGGGGCATGGGGTTTTTATATTGTTGTGCATGCAATTTTCTCATTTTCCCAATATTTCCCTCCATTCCTTCCCGTTCCTCAATCCTCAATCGAATTAGACAGGTAGTTTCTTTAAGTGGATGAGGCGCCTCCCCCAGCTCTCACTAACGAATCTCCGGGGCCGCGTGAGCTCGATGAGCTCAAGTTGCCGGGCCCTGGTATAGACTAAGATCTTTCTTTTTCGACAAAATAAATGTTTCTGTCAATCAGCAGGTGTAGGGATGTTTTAAAGAATGAAGAACAACCAGATTTTTTACTAAACATATAAACACTAAAAGTTAATAGTATATTGTGCGCCATGGGAGGAAAAAAGGGCATTCCTACCCGCGTGGGTATTACCGACCCGAGGCGAAGCCGAGGG